AATCCAGTTCTAAAAGGAAAAAGAGTGGAGGATGACTTGTCTAAGGCTCCTAAGGTAGATGAGGATTGTAGTCCAAGCATATGCTTGTATCCAGTATTGGCCAACACTGACTGAAGTTGATCTTTGATAGGAATACAATTCTAAACAAGATAAGTAAATGTTAATATTAGTAATCTTGACAGTTAACTTTTAGAGTATGAGTCAGGCACTGTGCACTATTTTATCTGATCAATAAAACATCCTTATGAAGTAGGCTGATATTACTGTCACTTCATATTAAATTAAATTGAAGAGACCAATGCTAAAAAGGTGGCCTGGCCAAAGTAAGTGGTAGAACTGCAACATGAACTGAGAACACTTAACTCCACAGTTGGGGCTTTTAGTCATTTAATGGTAGTTTTTTTCTAAAAATATATTAAAATAAATACTAGAATGCTTAGTAAAATGGCACTGGCATATTTTAATGTTTCCACTGCAAAGGCCTCTTTAATTTACAGTAATAAAATGCAGTAGTCTCAACTGAGTCACAAGAAATGACAATTTTCTTAAAAGTTTGTGCTTTGCAGTGCTAACCATAATACCAAAAAATTTGAGGAATCTACTCACTAATCTAGTAGTGATGAAATAAGTACAATATATTCATAAAGTGACATAGTATACAGTTATTAAAAATGACATAGGAATATATTTCTTGCTTAGAATGTGGCCCACCTCCTATGTTAGAGGAAAATGACTATAGAGCAGCATAAAGGAACATGAAAAGTATTTATGCAGAATTGTGTCAATATACTTATATATGAATATGTAAATAACTATATAAATGTATGTGTATATATATAATTTCATGTATGTGAACACACCCTGTGAAATTTCTGAAAAGTCAAGTGTTTTATCTCTGAATATCTTACAGGATTTCTGAAATGATTTTTACTTATTTATTATAAAAAATCATATCATTTTGAAAAAACAAGAAAAACAATAAAGCTACTTTTATTTGGAAGGGAAAAAGTAAACAGTATAAATCATGAATAATGGAATATATTCTTTGAGAAAATGAGGTATACCATCCTTTCATTCAGATAACATTAAATGACAATAGTATACTACACACTTTGATATAGAATTCCTACTCAATATTCTAAATTGTGAAGCATAAACAAAGCTAGCAATCTGAACTTCAAATACAAGGGAAAAAACCTTTATATTTATCAAGATATCACAAAAGTTTAGATGACCATTTCAGATTCACATGACTCAGAATACCAAACTTTAGTAAAACTTTCAAGAAAGCAAGTAATGTCAATGCAGAGGTAAAGCTGAGGGAGGCTGATACTTCTAACACAGGACAGATCCTGCCTAGACAATGTGTATAGTTACACCATTACACAAGAGTTGTTTTGGTTATGAAACATCCCCATTTTATACTCAGAGTAGTCGCAAAGCTTGTATGACATTTTCCAGGGAGACAATATATAGATGTCTGGTTTTTTAACTCCATAAATAAGAACTTTCTTATTAAGAAGTAAGTCTTTTATTAGCATGTTTAAAAGGAAGATTTAACATTCTTTCTTTCCCCGGCGTTCCCCAAATGTCTCCAGATGTAATGACTTGGTGTGTTTGTGTGGGAGGTGGGGGTCATTGGGGAGTGGGAATCTGTTACAACATATTTTACTTACTGAAAGGTATATGCTTCTATATGCAGAGAAAACCCTAGACATATATTCATAATGTACTATGCATAAGACTCATCTGGAGATGCCTGTTTAAAATAGTAATTCCTGAATCGCACCCCCGAGGATTCAGGGCATTGGTGAGAGTCAGGAATCTGCATTTTATAAACATTTGAAGGGATTCTTGAAGTTCCTTATCTCTACTTTTCTTGAAACAAACCCTTGCTACCCTGGGTACCTCCACATTCCAAAAACCCATTTACTATCAAATCCCTGAAAATCTGATTTTCACCTCATCACTATTCAAACTGACCCCCCTCACAATCTCAAAGGAGTCCTTAGTTGATCATCCAAAGAGCACACTTATTGTATATATATTCCATGCTATAAACAAGCAAGACTAGGTATCTATTGCACCAAGCTTACATTTTAATGACATAAACAGACCAATACATAAACAACAGTAAACATAGTCAAGAGGGCTCTGAAGAAAATGTGATATAGATTTGGAGGGAAAGGTTACTTAAAACTGGGTAGTTAGCGAAGATCTGAAGATCTCGTTGAGGCTGTAACATTTAAGCCAAAATCTGGCGCGAAAAAGTGAGTTATGCCAAGATCTAGGGAAAGAAAACAGTTACAAGCATAAAGGTCCTAAGGTAGAAACACATTTGGATATTTATGGAATACACATAGTCAGAATGTCTGGAATAAGCTGCCCAAGGAAACATGGCAGGAGATGACGTTGAGAAGGCAAGCAGGGCCCACATCTTACAGATCAAAGGATTCAAGGTTAATTCTAGGTGTGATGGGAAGCAGTGAGAAGGCTTTACACAGAAGAAAGGTGAGAACTTTGAGGCCATTCTGAGTGCAACGTGGAGAATGGATTTTAGCAGTGCTCGAGGACTAATTAGGAACCTCCTGAGGTTTCCAGGTGAGATTGATCATGGTGTGGAAGGAAAGTATATGTTTCCCTCTTGTTTGAAACTCTTCCTTCTGTCGTTTCTATAATCATCTCTCCTGGTTCTCTTAACTCAGCCCATATTGTAATACTGGTACTACATTAGTATCTGTAGGCCACACATTTACAAGTTCTTTACTTGCATTATTTATTTTAAATTTTCACATCAATCCTGTGATTGTTACAGTGTTATCACTTAGATTTAGATTTTGTACATGAAGAATTCATAGTAAAAAAAATATGAATCAACTTGCCCAAAGGATGCAGAACTAAGAAGAGGTGGGACAAGAGCTTGAAGTCACCTCGCCTGACAGCGAATCCTTTCTCTTGCTGCTCTATCACACTGCTTCCATCTACATTTCTGGTTCCTTTTTCCTCTCTCTACATCTTTACAAATGCAGCTACTCTCCAAGGGTCTTTCTTCCTTGCTTCAGTCCTCCCTTCACCATACTCCCTGTTAGCTACTGTGAGTATACCCCTAAACTTCCCTTCCAGCCACTGAAGGTTCATTCCATTTCTCCTAATCCTCTGTTTCCAGATATTTGCAACATTCTTTCAGGGAATGTCTTATTCACAGCTAAAACTCAATATTAAATTCCTTTTTATATTCTTATGTCTTATAAAATATTCTATTTTATATTCTATTTTATTCTATATAAAATATTCTATTTCATATTCTTAATGTCTTATTCACAGCTAAAACCCAAAATTAAATTCCTTTTTCCTCCAAGCATCCTCCTCCTTTGGGCTGAATTCATCTTATTGGTACTGCCATCCTTAAAGCCTCAATTTCACATCTGATTCTATTTTTATCCCACAACACCAATATTAAGTTAGTTGTAAAGTCCCATTGTTTTAGCATTTCACCATCCAGCTCGTCACTATGTCCAATCTTAGACCCTCATTCATACTCATCTGGATGAGGGGAATAACATGTAGCTGGTCTTCTCCTTGTCATCTCATTTTCTTTTGATTCACCTTACACATGACAGTGGAAATATTTACAAATTTAAAGTAGCATTCAGGCAGGGTGTGGTGGCTCACCACTGTAATCCCAGCACTTGGGGAGGCTGAGGTGGGTGGATCATTTGAGGTAAGGAGTTTGAGACCAGCCTGGCCAACATGGTAAAACCCTGCCTCTACTAAAAATACAAAAAAAAAAAAAAAAAAAATTAGCTGGGTATGGTGGCAGGCACCTGTAATCCCAGCTACTTGGGAGGCTGAGGTAGGAGAATCACTTGAACTTGGGAGGCAGAGGTTACAGTGAGCTGCGATTGTGCAACTGCACTCCAGCCTGAGTGACAGAACAAGATTCCATCTCAAAAAATAAAGTAGCATTCAAAGCTCTCAATATGACCTAGTTGAAATCTACTCTACACTTCCCCTACTACCTTTCTGCTTCAGAGAAATGAACTACTACTCATTTCTCAGCCACATCCAATTTTAGTCACCCTATTTTTTTGTCTGAATTGTCCTTTTTCCAGATTCACTTGCGTAATCCTCTCTGTTAAAGGCCTAGATAAAATACCACTTCCTTTAGTGGGCCTTTCCTAATCTTCTTCATCCTTCCCCACTTATATGTCCTAGAATGTAAATCCTTAAAGACAAATTATAAACTAACTGATAATCTTTGCCCCTGAAATGTACTCAGACTAGTGCCTTGTTCACTAAGGTGCTTAATAAATACTTGCTGAATGAATGTGTGAATGAATGCATGAAAAAGTATGAAGATTTGTAATCAAAACATTTTATAACAGGGTAAGTCTATGAAATGTTATCTTTTACACAAGCAAATAAGGATAAGTTAAATCAATTACAAAATTTCAAAGAAAAAATTTACATCACTACATGTATTTATAAAAAGCCATCACTTTGACAATTTTAATGGTTTCTAAAAAGTCATCCATTTCTACCTACCCACTGGTGAAACCTAATCATATTCATCAAATGCTGAGCTCCAGGAGATAACTTGGACCCCATGGACTCCATTATGGTTTGGACCCTGTCTAGGTCTATTCTTGATTTTAGAGCAGGAGAGCTTGTTGAAGAATTTGAAACTGCTCTCATGTATATCACAGCTTTACTGATGAACACACACTGCCTTTCACCAAAGGACAGCAACTATTACAATACAAAGTTCAGGAAAATAAATAATAATATTAAACAATATTCACTATTTAAGATCATTTCTTCGTATTATCAGCAAGAGTAAAGTATTCAGGAAAACAAATATAAATTTTAAATCTATTTTCAAGTTTTCCCCAATACAGTAATGGTCAGAGGTTCCAATTTATTATGAAACTCAGAAGAACAATTTATATAAGACAATGTCATTTTCAAACTAAAAAAAATACTAAATATACGAAAGAAGGTAAAATTAAAGTTTCCTTTATTTAACCAACTCAAACTATGCCAATCTGAGACTTTAACACACTGCAGTTTACTATAATATTATTTAATACAAAATAAGGGTGTTCAGAAGCCCATCCAAAGTGTTTACTGAATTAGTAAATATAAGTGAGCCATTCAGAAATATAAGGCAGAGTCAAGAAGGTCTAATGCAACCCACTGGTTTATACATTTAAAAAGATTAAGTCGGAGGTAATTTTCTAACTTATCAAAGGATTAATCAATTAGTGAAAGTCAAGCTTAGAACCTAGCTCTCCTAGTTGTTGTAACAGTGCCCTCTCCAATGCTTTATGCTGCCTCTCTTCATCCATGTTTATGAGCCAAAAGACATTTCATGTGCGGCACTGAAAACAGCATCAACGTGGAAAGGAAACAGGATTTAGAATGAGAAAGACCAGAGTTCAATTATGAGTCTGCTCTTTACAGCCTGTGTGATTCTGGGCAAATGCCAAAACCCGAGTCAGAATTAAGATGAGGGAAGATAATATCAATGATTTCATGTGGTGGTTGTGATTATGTGTGAAAATTTTTAGTACCTACTATTGAGTATTTGAAAATATGCATCAGTAACTATTTTTTTAACTTTCATATTCTGTTGCCTCAGAATAAGCTTTAGTAGGCTTGGGATTTTCCTAAATGAAATGACCCTCTGCACTCACATATACTTCCATAGAATAGTTACAAAAAATACTCATCTTCAGAGACACACAGAACCATATGTAAGCCAAAGACACAAATCAATCCAGACCTATGGCAAAAAATATGTGACCATCCTTCGCAATTAAGGAAACACCCCATTAAATTTAAACACTCACGTCTCATCTTCCCTGTTATCCACATTCTGCTTCTTAATCCTTATAGCCTTTCTCACCACCAAATACAACACAATTTTATTCAGAGTGTGTTCATTACCTGTCTCATCCTATTAGAATATAAGCAACATGACCTAGCTGAGGAAAACAGCAGTCACTCCAATTTATTTTATTACTGCTGTTTCCTAAATGCCTACTACAGTCTGTATCTGGTATCAGTAGGCACTCAAATATTTGTTGAATAAACCACTTTATTTAAATGACTTTGGAAGCTATTAATACATACTACCCAAAACAATGTCTTGGAACAATCTGATCTGTAAGTCTGTTACTTGCCTGCTATAAAAATCATTAACTTTTTCCTAATCCTTTTTATTATTTTTTACTTTTTTGAGACACGTTCTCCCTATGCTGCCCAGGCTGGTCTCAAACTCCTGGGCTCGAGGAGGGATTGCCCTGCCTCGGCCTCCCAAAGTGCTAGGATTACAGGTGTGAGCCACCATGCCCAGCCAACTTCTTCCTTAAAGTAAATCTTACAACCCTGTATAAAGTCATGTGGAGATAAGAAGAATACAATGCTTTATTTTCTTTAGTTCTCTAATTTACCCATGAATTAGAGCATAGCGACCCCGTTCCCGTCGGCCCGGCGCACCCCGGAGCAGGGGGCGCCTGCAGCTCCTCCCAGAAGTCGTGGGCGCTGAGACCCGCCCGGGTGAGAAGAAGGTTGTGGGTCAGGGCCCTGCCCGTGGCATCGCAGAACCAGGCCAGCGTGGGGCGGCGGGTGAGGCCCCCGTCCTCGGTCCGCGTCTCCATTCCGCCGCCTCCGGCCGGGCCAGCCCAGCCCCGGAACCTCTCTTCCAGTGCTTGAGTGTCGGCCAGGACTGCGTGGAAACGGGCAGGCAGAGCGACTTCCGGCTCTCTTCATTTCAAACACCCGCCGCTTGTGGCTTTGGTAGGGAGCGCAGGTACCGGAGACACGCATGCGCATGTAGCTACTGGACTCGCCAGCGGCCTTCAAACTGTGCCGGGAAGCACAAAAGAGCGGAGCATGCGCACTGGCAGCCCCTCGCTCTGGCGCTCGAGACTCCGCGCAGGCGCGGTGTACTGCGCGCGGACACGAGGGTGGTTTTTCGACGCTGGCAGTGAACAAACAGCAGGCAGCATGGACCGCGGTTGCTGGGCAGGATGGGGAGCGCCTGTGATCAGGTAGGTGTGGTCTGTTCGCTCTGCGCGACGTGCAGGACCAACTCCTGACCCCGTTCTCTCCCGAGTGGGCACCTGGGCCTTTTCTGCCTTCACTCCATCGGGTCTGCGGCATTTGTGGCAACGAGGCTGCGGACTCCTGTCGATTTGGGTCCGTTTTACTCCGAACTCACCCTGCCTCCCTCCCACGCATTCTCGCGTTCGAGGGGACTTGAAATGGATATTGAACAGCGTTAGTGGCGGGTGTTGGGCCACACAGGCCTTCCCAGGTGCCGTCTCAGCTGATGCTCCCTGACTGCACGGCGTGCATCAGCCAGAGCCACGGGCGGCCAGTGCACATGCTCCGCTCTTTCGCGCTTCCCCGCAGTTTGAACACCACTCCTGAGTCTAGTTGGTTCAAACTGGGATTGGGGCACCTTTGGCTAATCTGTCTTTCAGTGTCTGAGTAGTAAACCATCTGAATAGAGAAGTGGATTACTGTATCTTTAATGGTAGAATCAGTCAGGCCTTGCCTTGTCTTCTGTGTGCCATCCACTTTCATCCAAAAGATTCAGGGAGACCAAGGATGGCCAGCTCTGCAGGAGCCTAGTTTCCTGAGTCCTGGAAGAGGAACCTCATATGGAAACCAAAAGTTTGCAAGAAGAAAAAAGCATCTTTCCTAAGGAAATTTAATATATTGCCAGATCCCTAGAGGAACCATGTTCAGATTTCGGTCACAGAAGTCTGTTGCATAACTGCCAGGGACGGTGGGGTACCCAGAAGCCTTAGTGCACTCCCTCTGTAGTCTCTGGGGAGCACCAGCCAAAGGGGTACTTCTCACTGGTACTGGGGACACCATGTTTAGAAGGATTCAGAGATTCTGTGTGGTCCACAGATACTAAGGGATACCTGGGTAACCACTCTGTGTGGTCTTCTCCCTGTTCCTAGAACTTTTCGGCTTCAGGACGCGAAGGTGCACATTAAAGAACACAGGAGGAGTGATCTCCTGCTGGGGGCACGGGTGTGCATGGGGAGGGATGCACAGGGTCACAGTGGAACCATCCTGAGCATTCGGAGCTGGCCTTGCTGGTGCCTGATTAGTTGTCAGGTGGTCAGCAGGCACTGACACGCATTTCCAGCCCATGTGGGGGACATGAAAGTAAACTGATAATGTTTTATTTTCTTCTTTTTTAAAGCTTCAATTTGACAGTTTAAGGCCTAGAAGTGTGAGTTTGAAGGATCTGTACTTAAAAGAGTTTATAACATCTTTCTTGTCATGAAGGCTTCAACACTTGGAGGCAAGTCTGAATGATGAGTGCTTTGGTGAAAATGACAGAACTAGAGAAATACAAGGAAACAGATACATAAGTGTCATAAATACGCAAGTATACCAAAACTGCCTTTGTGGAGCAGAGGTAAATGTTCCCAGGGTTATATTGATAATTTAAGTCTTATAAACTTATTTAAATGTAGTAAGAGAAATGACCAGTGGTGAAGGGTAAATGGATTAGATAGCAATTCAATATTTATTGCTTTAAAGACTGACTTAAGTAATAGCAGTAATGAATAGTGAAAATTCAATTGCAGCAAAGCTTGTTGGCTTCGTGGTTTGGACAAAAATGGTTACCTTTTATAAGTGGCAGCATAGTAACCTAATGGTATGCAAAGTTCTCTGATGACCCCCAAGAGTCCAGCTCCCCCATGCAGATATCCTGTGTATTCTCATCCCCTAGAGGGTGGGCTGGACCAGTGAATATGATGGAATGTCACCCTGTGTCTAGGTTACTAATCAGCTGACTTTGAGCTAATCAATATAGATTATCTGAGTAGATCTGACCTTATTAGGTGAGCCCTTTTAAAGAAGGTGGGTGGAGCATCAGAGGGAGGCTTTCCTGCTAGCCTGAAAGGAGAAGTAAACTGCCTTGTAGTGAGAGACGGCCTGTGAGTGGGTGGCCTGTAGGAGCTGAGAGCGGCTTCAGGCCATCAGTCAGCAAGAAATAGGAACCTCATTCCTGCAATCACAAGCAACCTAATTCTGTCTGTCTCCATCCATTGAAATGTAAATGCAGAGCTGGGCCTGGCTTTTGGGGCTGGCAGCTCAGGGACATCATGAGGCCACTGGTGTTTAAAGGTGGGAGGTGGAGGGGGAGATATAGTGGCTGAGGGAAGCAGCAGCAACCCAGGTTGATCTTAGTCCAGGTGAAATGAAGATCTATCTGTAATCACTGTCTACATCTCTTTGCAACATGCAGTGGATCTGTCCAGGGGAGAGGGGGTTGAAGAATGAACCATTGGGGCCCGTGAGGATGCTTCTGTAGTCCTGATTTAGGCCCATGGAAAGAAGGGAGAGACCCCTATAGACTCCCCAGCATGGCTAAACTGAGACTGAGGCCTTAACCTACTGAAAGTAGGAAAGATGTTCAGATGCTTTTGCTCTCTGGTCTTTCCAGTGTCAAAGGCCGTTCTCATTGGGATTGAGCTGCAGAATCAGGGCTTTATGGACCTCCCCTAAGGCTGGCCCCTTGAAGGCAGGCACTGCTGACTCACCATGCTGACACTCCCTGCTTCAGCAGGTTTTTTCCTTGATGTGGCAACCACATAGTGTTCAGGTCCAGAACAGCAGGAGAGATTGCCTGTTTGTTTCATAGAGAACATAATTGCCACTGGCTACTTAGCTCCTCATAGAAGATATTTGGCTTTTCACAAAGTAAGCCACCACAAGTTGGGTGTCTATCCATATAAGCCTGAGACTGCTGGTCTTGGGACAGAGATTATAGTTGGTCTTGGTCTCTTCCTGGTCGATGCTCATGCTGATTGTGTCTCCTTCTAATGTGCCACGGCAAAGTTGTGGGTCACTCACAAACATGTGAGTCACTTAATGAGGCATATCCCTTCAAATGGGATACCTGGACACTCTGCTTCAGCAGGGGCATTCCTTGCTGTGGCAGCCACATATGGTTCAGGTCAGGAGCAGCAGGAGAGGTTGAAACGCGAAGGCATGTTTGTGTACAGTCTTGGCTTTTTCTTCCTTCTGGCTTTGGGCTGTGAGCTCATAAACAGAATGTTCTCAGCTTGGTGGCTGTGTGTGTCAGTGCTGCCTTGTCACTTTAAATAATTGAGTTTAACATTGGTTATTTAGCTCAGCATGTTAGCTGAGCTCTTCCTCTGTCTGAGGCGCTGTAGACTGAAGAAACTGACAGCTGAATGAGCTCCCTTTTCCTGAGCTAGAGAATTCTTGAACTGGTCTCTATTCTCCTCTCCAGTTGCCTTAGAAATAGTGAGATGGGAAGCTGCACTTAGAAGATCCTGGAGGATGCCTGACAAGGGGGTGTCCAACACATGATGAAGTAGGAGCTCTTTTTGAAATGTTTCTTTGCCTTCCTGGAGCAGAGGAGCCATTTTATTTATGCAGGTGAAATAAGATAAAGAACTTACTTCTCTTGGCTCACGTGAGTATGGAGAAGAATGCCTCCAAAAAAATGAGAGATTGGTTTGACAGGCTCAGCTCTGTCACATTTTGTGGAAGTTAAGCCTGTGAGTTAGAGGGCAATTCCCAGAGCCCAGTGTGTGGCAGACTGTGACCTTCCTCGTCATGCCGGCACCTCTGGGGGGTCTGCATGGATCACCTACCTAGACAGGTACTGATAAGGTAGAACATGGTAATCCATTACTAAGTTTGCAAATTTTTTCTCTTTGGTTCTTTTAAAACTGACTTTACAGCCATAAAGTTGGGTGAGGGAAAGATTGGATGGGAATTTGGGAGATGGGAAGAGGGGTGTAATCTGGTTCTGGGACACATTAGTAAAATGTGCCATTTGGATTTTACAAAGACTCAGAAACTGTCTTCAAATGTTGGCAGTTCATAAAATCTGATTGCGTGTTGTATACCACAATCTTTATTCCTCTGAGAATAAAGGATTCAGTTAAGGAGATCCTTTCTCTGGGGCAAAACCCAGCTCTTCTCATGACAGTTGCCAGGGCCATAGCAAGGTCCTGATTGGCACCAAGAGTCTGAAGGCAAAGGTGAGATTTCCAGGAGCAGAGTAGAAGGAGCTGTGGAGGAGGCACAGAGATGGGAACTGGGCCAAGTAGGGGCCTCACAGGCTTATGTGGTTTTGGATCCAGGATGCTTCTGTCACCAGAGATGCAATTTAGCAGGCATCAGGGTGTTTGCGACCATTTGACTCAGATGTCAGTCACAAGATGGGCAGTTTCAAATAACTGATTAGGCGAAAGTCCTTGTGGATATGAATAACAGAGAATTTCCATAGAGATAAGGCCAGCCCCTGTAACAGGAATTGCATTGCAAAGTTTAACTCACTGATTCGAGCACAGTTGCTGCCTACCTTTTACCATCTGGAACACACAACCCTTTCACTACCCTTGAGTTGTCACCACATGTGAATCATCAGTGAGATATTGCTTAGAATGAAAACATTAACATAAAAATCAGCCCCTTCCTTAAATGAAATGCAACTGGATTTCTTATCAGATCTTTCAGTTGAGAGCCAAAAGGAATGGGGAACAACACATCATTTCAGAGGGTTCAGGAAGGTTGAGGGTGGAAGAGCATTGGACTTGAGAATCAGGAGATGCAGGAAAGGGCTGTAGAACCAGGTCCTTGTTTCTTTGCTGCTGGTGACTTGCTGTGTGACCCAAGGGAGTCACTTCTACTCTCTGAGCTTCAGTTTCCTCATCTTTCAAACAGAGGTTTTAGTTATTGCCTCCTGGTTATCTTCATTGCAACTCAGAAAGATATTACTAAAACATATTGGAAGTTGTTAAATGTTGGTGGTTTATAAGCAATGTAGAAAGTATGCATTCTTTAATGAATGAAATAATATTTGTCAGGGTTTTACTGCTGTGTCTGAGTTACTGCACTGTCTAAATTTTGAAGCTTCGTCAGAGAAAGTGAATACCAGATTGACAAAATTCAAATTTTGGTCATTGATCATAACATATGCCAGCACCTAAAGGGTTCTAGGTCTTCTGATACCTAAGGTTGCAGAGCTCCTGCTCCCATGGAGTTCACAAATACCTTGAAAAAGCAAACGTTCAATGCACAAGACAACAGACTGTCAAACAGCAGTCAAGCACCACAGAAATAGAGGAAAACCAAGAGATGACTTCCGTGGGATGGTCCACAGGGCCTAGCTCCTTAATGATGACCAAACTTATTTAGGGTTATATCCCTCTGAACCCAAGTAGGGACCACAGACATCCGCTACCACACCTGGGTAACTTATTTTCATTTTTATTTTTAAGGTTTTTTTTGTAGAAATAGGGTCTCACCATATTACCAAGGCTGGTTTCAAATTCCTGGGCTCAAGCCAATCCATTTGTCTCACCCTTGTGAAGTGCTGGCATTACTGATATGAGCCACTACACTTAGCCAACAATTCAAATTTCCATATAGGTACAAACAAAGGGCATGGATACGTAGGGAGAGGAATAATGAACACTGGAGGAAGAGAGGTAGAAATCAGTAAGGTTTTATAGAGGACATGGCATTTTATTGAAGTCTTGCAAGATTGGTATTTCAGCAGATAGAGGAGAGGAGGAACAGGGAGGGCCATCTAGCCAGGCTCTGAGGCATCAAAATGCATGGAGTGTGAGGTAATGCAGAGGGAGATGAGGCAGGAAAGATGTTACATTGAGATATGGACTGGATAACACATGCAAAGGACCCAGGGTACAAAATTTAAGGAGGCATGTAACTGCCTTTTCAGGATTGGGCAAGTGTAGGGTTGGTGCAGAGGTTGTGGCTTGTAAGCAGAGGATTGATTTAAAATTTTCCTGTATAGGGGACTTCCACTTACGGGAAAAGATACTTTTTCTTATTCTTCTGAAGTACAACTAAAATCTGTGGACATTATATACGAAACATAAGACTTGAATAGGTGGAGAGAAGAAGGAAGGCTAGCTAGGGACCTTGGGATCCAAGTCATAACACGGTAGTGACTTCCCTAAGTTTTGTTTTTTGTCTCAGATTTCTAAACTTGGAGCTGAAGAAGCGAGTAACTTGGAAACACCAATGGGTTCAGACAAAAGAGCCCCAATAAGAGACTATTTTTTCTGGCCAAAAGATCAGGAAATGGGCAGCTCAATGAGACAGAAAACTTTTAGATAATAGCTTCTGCATTCTAGGCAAACAAAGTAGAAAAAACTATAGCCCTATCCCAACTCCACCAGTGAAGGCTGAGTAGAGAGCCTAGATGTCGACCCTTTCCAAGCTGTAAAGAAGTGTCCCAAAGCACCCCTCCACCAGGGTGGTGTCAGAGAAGGCTGACAGAGAGGTGAGACTCAACTCTGGGTGATAACCTGACCCCTGTGGTATTAGTGGAGACACCTTGGGGAGTCTGGATTTCCTCTCTGACCCAGTGGTAATGGGGCAACTTTCCACCTTGTTGGGATTCACTTGGGGTGGCTGGCAAAATATTAGGGAAAGTTATAGATTATAGTCTCAAACCTTTTGGAAGGCTTAAAGATTTTATTGGGGCAGGCAGAAAGCGGCTGGTCCATTATGTTAGGAAAAAGATAGGGATGAAAAGAGACTTTCCCAGTTTAAATCTGTTTACCCCACATCCCTTTGTTTCTATTCTAACGGTTGACTCACGTAAACTTTGTGATGGATGATCCTCTCACGGGGAGATCAAAGGGGAATTACCCATTAAGGAGGTTTACTCTGGGCCCTGGAACCTAAAGCTTTTATCATTCTTAAAATCACTCTTTTAACCATGTTAATTATCCACAAGCATGTTAACTTAGAACCTCTGTTATAAAATTTTTACTGAATAAATTTGTGGAAGGACAGGGGGTCTTGGTCTGTTGGCAGCAGTCACCCTCGGAAAGCAGCCAACTACCATTCCCTAGCCCACTTGGATCACTGAACCAGTTGTGAGAGTGCATTTATTCATCCGTCATTGAGTCAGGGTCTGCAGGACAGACCAGTTACCATTTAATTGTTCTTACCAGGTGGTGATCAATGTCTCACCACCTAACTGCTGGGTTGGCACCAGAGGAGGCCTGGGGAAATTTCCTGACTTTTCTTACCTCACAGTGGTAATGAGGCTACCTTCACTGCAGTGTCAGTGGAGACTAAAACATAAGGGGTTTTCCTGTAGTCTTCATTGTAAGAGCCTGGGGAACTTCAGGAGATATGACTCATGAAAGTGTGCCCCCACACAACAAAACAAAACAAAATTGGGCCCTCAGGAGTTTTAAAACATGCTAGTCCATATTCACCATCCAGGAAGATACCCGTTACCATTTAATTGTTCTTACCAGTTGCTGGCTTTGGCAGTGGCCTCTGCTCCCAAGCTGGTATTCTCTGTATTCACCTCTCTCTTTAGTTTTGGGGCTGGTTCTTTGCCCTGTGACTTCAGTTTTCGGGTTGATGTAAGAGTTGCTGATTCAGCTTTTATTCAGGCAGTGTATTCAGCTTTTTTACTTGTTGTGAGGATGGGAATAACTACTCCCAAGCTCTTCACATGTTGGTGCAGAAACCAGAAATTTTGTGTTCATTTTTTACTCTTTTTTTTTCTTTCTATATTGCAGTTTGGATAATCTCAACTTTCTTCAAGTTCACCAATTCTTTTTTTTTTTTTTTTTTTTGCAATTTAAATAAGGTTTATTTTTTTTTAAAGGTGGTTATTTTCATTTTTTGCAATGCCACGGTTATAGGAGTATATGAAGAGGTAACACATCCCCTTTTCCTTAACCATGCTTTTTTTTTTTTTAACCTTCTGCACAAAGGTAAAAGTTTTTGTTAATCTCATAGTTAATGGTATAAAACAGAGGTCGGCAAACATTTCCTCCAATGGGCCAGGCCAGGTAGTAAATATTTTAGGTTTTGCAGACCACTTATTTTTTCTTTTATAACTCTTTAAAAATGTAAAAATCATTTTTAGTTTGCACCATACAAAAACAGACTGGGCCAAACTTGGCCTGTGGGCAGTAGTTTGCCAACCTCTGGTATGATATATCTACTTTGTCAGAGAAATTGATGTCCTTAGGCTTCTAGACAGTCTGCTGCCTGAAGTCAAGTAGGGAAGGGACTTATTTACAATTTAATGTGGTTTGTGACAAAAGTAGAAATGGAGAGCTTCTACTCAACTTTTGACTTTCCCAGTTTTTCCATTCACTCATTCATTCAATAAATGTGTTGAGTATCTAATATGTATACTCTTAAATATCGTGGTGTTACCAGAGATTTCCAGTGTTTCTTCCTTAAAAGGGGGATTTCTCCAGTTTCTCTAAACCAGGAATTAACATTTCTTAATACTCATGTCTTAGGGAAAAATCAGTATTAAAATCCCTACTAAGACTCAAGAGGGGATACATGATTATAAAAAATGAATCTAGCCAACAATGATATCCTTGTACCCAATGGTGACACATTCTTAAAATATCACAGCCTAGATGAGGAAAAATATGTAACTATCTCTATTTTAAAAGATACCTCTTTTCCTCCCATAGGCTGAAACTTTAAAAAAAAAAAAAAAAAAAAAAAGGTCTAGAACATCCCCCAAATCATTTCTTCCCATTTTCCTAGCTTTACTGCCATGTTAACATAAAATCTGGATCCAGATAGGGCTCTTCATTAGCTCTCTATTTCAGCCATAAAACAATACTACATTTACAGCTGAATACTGCCTCCAAAGCAATGTGCATGCCCACATTTCATCTCAGGGAGGGATTGATGATGTTTCTGCTCCTGGATGAAAACTGTTACCTTTCTGAATCCTCCTGCTATTTATCCAAAGTGAGGGAAGCCTTTTTAAAGTGGCCAAAAGGAGCACAGGACTTAAGTATTAAAATATAAAGGTGGCCCCTATTCCAGATCTTTGGTACAGTCATCAACTATAATCTGATTTCCCACACCACCAAAACATAGCAAATTTTGTACTTAGAAGTGATTGTGATTTTCCTTTTGACCATGTAAACAATAAGGGAAATGCCTTGGGAAACTACTTTGCAATGCACTCTCAATTCTCTTAAATATACAGCCAGTTCTCCCTTTGATCAAGTTCATGGGGGGAAAGAACAGAGTAAGCCAAGGTTATCGCTTTCGCTCCCCTCTCTGTGTCCTTTTCTTTTCTTTTTCCTTGCGCTCCTGCTTGGCTAGTTTATCTCTCTCCCTCTGCAGTTTGTCCTGTTCCTTCTTCCTTTGGGACTCATCCCGAAGCGAGTCTCGCTCCAGTTTTCGGGCATTAAGGACATCTTCCACATTGGTGTTTCGGAACAGAAATTTGTCAGAACCAATGTTCATTGTGGTAGCTCCTGAATCATCCTTCTCATCTGCTTCATCCTCTTCATCTGTCACATCAGCATACTGGGCCAGGAGGGCAGCTTTTCTCTGCTTCTCCTCTTCTGACACCATCCTTGGCTTTACCACAATTTGTGCCTGCTTTTCAATTAGGGTGGCGATGGCCTGTACTTCATCTTCTTTTTTCACTTTGGTGACAACATTTTGAGTTTCTGACCATCGTTCCACAATCTCCTTGCAGATATTAAGGAGGGAATCTTCTTCCAGGAAAGCAGAGAGGATCCCCTGCAGAGCGTCCAGCTTCTCTTCTTCCTCCTCCTCTTGCAGGACACCCAAGATGTAGGCTCCGTAAACGGCTCGGTCCACTCCCAGTGCCTCCAACCGTCCGTCCAGCCAGGAGCCAAAGCCGCCGCCTCCGCCATCGCCTTCGCCAGGGACTACTGCGGCCACTTCGCTGGGTGCCGCCATCTTGGGGTCCCACCAATTCTTTTCTTCTGTCAGTTCAAATCTGCTATTAAGCCCTTATAGTGAATTTTTCATTTCAGTTATTATACTTTCCAATGCCATAATTTCTTTTGGGTTCTTTTTAATAATTTTTATCTTTATATTTTCTGTGATGAAATTATTTTCTATTATTCTCATATTTAGTTTTTGGACATGGATTCCTTTAAACAAATTTAAAGACTTTAAAAGTATTTTCTAATAGGGTCAATGTCTGGGCTTCTTCCAGAAAAGTTTTTATTTATTGCTCTCCCACTCCTTTATGGGCCATACTCTTTTTATAGACTTTTTTGTCTTATAGGCTTTTTTGAAAACTGGACGTTTAAAATAATATAACATGGCATCACTGGGAATCAGATTCTTAACTAAAACTTTTCTCTGAGAGAAACAAAACTTGAAAAGGGGAGATTGAGTATTACATAGCCTAAGAGAGTATTTAGGCATATCTACTTCCATTTGTGCTAACATATACCTGGAAATGGAATGGAATTCAGAACTCCATGAAAGAGAGCTGATGTCCAGAGGATTGATGTCACACAGCCTATGTCCTGACTGGCACAGAAGTTGGAGCTAGATTATGGGTATCCATTCTGCTAGCTCTGGTGGAAGACTGTTTCTAAAAGCAAGCTCTTCCACTTTGAATGTTAATCATTAGAATTTTCTTTCTCAAGTTAAAGGTTTGAGAAATTCCTGATAAGATGTCCTGTTCCCTGAAGTTTACTTTGACTGTATGTTTTTTTTACTGTTGGCTTTCATCCAGCCATGAAGTGTTAGGAGGTGGTAAGTATGCTTTGGCAGTCAGATTGTTTGTTCTCCCCTGGCTCACTTTTTTCCAGTTTCAGAAAGTTAAACTAATTAATTATCCCAAATTGGATTTCTTGTGAGAATTTAAGATTTAGGAGGAAAAATGTCAGTGGTCAGAGGAAGAATTGTAAAGTCCTTTTCCTAAAACGTGCATCGTTTACTAAATGGATTTGCATAGTCTCAGTATTGTTGGACAGTAACATTCCCACAGAAGATCTTTGAGCCCGATATCCAGTAAAGGGTCATTTCTGACTCTGAAAGTGAGCATAGCTCAGGAGGCCCGGGTGTTGGGGAGTGATGCCATCAACTCCAGTGCAGGCTTGCTTTTTATTTCCCGTTGCCTATCACAGTCTTTCCCTGTGAAAGGGAAAGATTCTTCCCAGGGTCTGTCTTTCTGATATCCTTTTCTCTGGACTTTGCATTTCAATTCCTTTTCATTGACAAATGGGCTTCCTGGCCCCCCCGCCCCCCCCCCCCCCCCCCCCCCCGTCCCGCCATCTCTGGGCCAGCTTAGGATCCTAGGCCACCCTGAGAAGACATTGGTGTTTTACACACACAAACATCTGTGTTTGGGGTTCCTTCTTCCTCCACTGAACATTGCTTAGTGGTTGTGTTGGCGCGTGGCCAGGGGGTGGGTGGGGTGGGTGGGGGTGTGGGGGTGTGGGGAGGCCACATGGGCTCACTGCTTCGCTTGCACTTCTCTGCCTAGGTACATCAACGTCTTTTGACCTCCGTACAATACTTATGCTTGTCATTGCTGGTGGTATCCTGATGGCCTTGCTCCTGCTGATAGTTGTTGTGCTCTGTCTTTACTTCAAAATAGGCAACGCACTAAAGTGAGTCACCTGGGGAAAAGGGAATAATACTCCCTCAATGGGATACCTGGGCTCCCTGTTGGAGCAAGGTCATTCCTTGCTACTGCAGCCATATTCCTAGGTGAGGTCAAGAAGAACGGGCAGCTTTGAAAAGGCAAAAAGGCAGCTGAGTGTAGAATCTTATTTGTTTTCCTTCCTGGCTGCGTTTTGTAGAATGTTCTCAGCTTGGAGCTGTGAGTGTCAGTGCTGCTTGGCTGTCACAGGACCTCACTAAGTTTACCCTCTGGTGTTTAGTTCAGTACCTTGGCCAACCCTCCCTCTGCCCTGGGCACTGTAGGCTGAAGATTCTGTAGGGGAGGCTGTGTGAATGAGCTCTGCCTTGTGCTCACGTGGAGGACAGGCTGGATTGATTTCTTCTTGCCTGTGTTGGGAGCTCTCCATTTGTTTCTGGTGGCCTTGGGGAAAATAACTGGGCCTCTAGATCTCAGGGACAGCGGCATTGTGTGAAAAACCTGGGATACAGCGGACAAGGGAGGGTAGGTCAGATAAGAGAAGATTGCAGTCTGGGGAGAAGACCCTTTAAGTACAGTAGAGATTAGTTGTCAGATGCAATTGTGTCCCCATTCAAAGGAGTTCACAATGGCACATCCGGGAGCCCTGGGCACAGCTGAATGCAGCACCTTCTCATCATTTCTACATCTTGAGGGCCTGCAGTGACCAGCTGGGTGACTTCGCTTGCAAATTCACTCACCCTTACTTTTGTAACCTCAGTTTACATTTATAGCAATCATAGGATAGGAAAAAATTTGAGAGGAACTTGGGACAGGGGTGAGAGCTTTAATTTAGGACTGGTGTTCATGTTTAATTGGCTTCAGCACTAAACTTCCCAGATATCCCCAACAGTTCTAACAAAGGGACTGAGAAGAAAAAATTCTAAGCCTGTGCTTTGTGTGTGTCTTTTCTCAAGAGCTGCAAAGGAATCTGGTCACAACCCAGACAAGCTGTTGTACGCCAAGAACAGCCAGGCCAAAACCATGGCCACGGAGTCTTGTCCCGCCCGGCAGTGCTGTGAAGGATGTAGAATGTATGCCGATTTTGATTCCCTGCCACCTTGCTGTTGTGACATAAATGAGGGCCTCTGACCTGGGAAAGGTGGGCCCAAAAATCTTCATGAGCAGTATTTCTTTCTTAATAGAATATTTTGTTATTCAAGTTCTAGGGTTTTTAATGTGATACTGTATAATTTACAGCGTTGTTTTATATACTTTTGAATCAATGTACAATATTAAAAAGAATCCTCTTTGCCTCTGGTATTTTCTATGGTTAATTATAAACGTCTTTTGTTTAAATATATTTATTACTCAATTTGGAATGTGGGGGAACTAGCTCATAGCACTGTAATAGAAGAAAGAGAGTTAGAGTAGAAAAGAAGTGTCCAGCACATCTCCCACCCTAGGAGGAAAATGCACACTGATCTTAGGACATGTCCAGTTTCAGCCCCAGGTGATCTTGTCCAGCTGGAGTTGCTCATTTAGCTGTCCTGAGGGCTTGGGTGGGTTGGCATCCACCGCAGAAAATGGTGTCATGTTGTCCTGACACCTGTCCTGTTGTCCTGTCCATTTGTGCAAGACAGTGAGAGGAGCCAGGCGGGACCTCCCTGTGTTAAAGTTGTCTGACCTGTGTAAGATAGGCCTGGGCTCAGTGGCCTCAAAAGGACATTTTGAAAACCAGATTCCTCCTGCTGCAACCCCCAGATCTTCAGAGCAGGTGGCTCCTTTGTGGATCATGGTGACAGTGATGTGTCTTGATCCAGCCATCAACATCTTCAACTGTAACAGGAACCACCAGCCCAAGGCCAAAGCCTAGACTCCCTGACCACAAGAGGCAGCAGGAAGCACCCCTCCCCACTTCTACTCTCGACTGACTTCTGTTCCGCTCCTTCCCCTGAGCCTCCTGGAACCCCTTTCTAAGCATGATTCCCCATCTGTAACCACCATGTGCACTCCTCAGGAGCTAAACCCTTGCTTGTGACCATCACGTGTATACTGAATGTAAAGAATTATTAGGTAGTAACAGGTGGTAACCTACTAAAACGGGGTAAAAAGGAAACAGAAGTCGCAAATGAAGGAAACACCTGTGACATACATGTAGGCACAGAAATAGGCCCGATGTGGGTGGAGGAGCTGCAGATGTGGGTAGAGGCCAACCACCTCCTGGAGGCTGAGCCTCGAGCCCTCACATACTTGGGAAGAGGCCAAGTCAGGGCAGCCTTCAGCTGGAGGTCACCTGTCCCCCTCAAGTTTCTGGACACTGTCTCCATCCCCCGCCTTTGAATTTCTGTCACCAGCAAGCTCTGAGCAGATGGAACACGTGCAGATCCCCTCCTAACCCACCCACTGGATGGCCCAGTGCCTGGACCCAAGAGGCCTGTGCCAGGGCCTCTCTGCATGGGCAGCTACACCTGGTGCAGGTATTGCAGGGGCCATGAGGGAGGCAGGTGGGACAAGGGTCTTCAGGATGCTCCCATTTGCAGGAGGGCAGAACACCACACATGGGCTTTAGAGCCCTATGGACTCGGTTCCCATCCCAACTCAGCCTTTACCAGGGAAAGTCCCTTGACTCCTCTGAGCCTCTGCGTCCTTGATGTGAAGTGGGAGACTTGCACAGGTGACAGGGAAGAAGCAGTGAGATGAGGCAGGGTGACCCCACAACACCCCATGGTTCCCAAGAAGTTACCAGAGGCCTGAAGGTGGCTTCTCTCCTGACTGGACCTGGAAGCCTGGGTCCTTTACCAGGGTCACTGACAGAGTGTGGTCATGAAACTCTCACACACAGTGAAGAGGGATCAGGGATATTGAAGATCCCAGCCATGGGAGAGGAAGAGGGATCAGAGGGAAAGCCCAGGGTGGGGGTGAGATTCATGGACACAGCTGCAAACACTTAGTAACCAGAAGGGTGCCCCACCTCAAACACCTGTGCCCTGCTAACTCATCCCAGGACACCCAGTCCCACCTCATTCACAGCCAGTCCAGGCAGACAGGAATGGAGCAGAGCCTTGGGGAGGGTCAAGGCTCCTCCAGAGCATCACATTCCAGCATCTCAGGTGCTGCCTTTCCCCTGCAGCATCAGGTGTGGGCCCAAAAAGGAATGGATCTCCTGAGTCACAGCATAGGACTGCACTCTCTCTAGGGAGGTGTCCTGGGCTGCAGCACAGTCAGAACAACAGAGGGGCTGACGGTAGCCGGAGGGTTTCACCCTAGAGACACAGCCTACATCGGCGTCAGAACGCCACAGAGCTGCACGAAGGTTCTTCCAAAAGTAGCCAGTCCTGGCATTACTCACTCAAAATGTTCCACCTGAACTTAGAGAGTCAAACCCAGGCTCCTCATTTGCCCTGCGAGTCCTTCCCTATCTGACCTTCACCTGCTCCTCTCCAACCTCCCCTCCCAGCTGGCTCCTCCCACTCACATCCAGCCAGGCTGTTCTTTCTTCCGTACTATTGTAGGTGTGCCCATCTAGTCCCTGCCTCAGGGCCTTTGCACTTGGCCTCTCTTAGGCCTAAGATGCAAGCCCCTAAGCCAGGATCACACATGAATGCCTCCCTCTTATCTTTCTGCCTTTGTTCAGATTTCATCTCTCAACATGCCCTCCTTCTCACGGTCAGATACTCCTCACCCCAAGCAACCACCATCTATGCAGTCATCCTGTTTATTGTAGCCATAGCTCCTGTCACTGTTTGAATTCTTCATTTATTTTTGTTGTCTAACTCTCCACTTAGAATCCAAGTTTCATGAGGGCAAGACTGTCTCTCACTTTCAATTCTATATTGCTTAGGCCCTAGACCAATAAGTAATATTTTACTGATTGAGTGAATGAACAAATGAATCAATGAAAAGAGGGCAGCTGCCACCCACCACCACCTGCTCCTCCCAGTCTCACTGTGGACACTGGGATTTCTTTCTCTTGGCTGCAAAACACCATACCAGAGTGACTAATTCACTTGCTTCAGCCTCTCCAGACATAACTGGCTAGAAATCCCTATAGGGAAATCTGGATCTGCACTCTTTTGTCTTTAACCTCTACCCTCTTCCCCTCCCTGACAGGGTCAGCCACCAGGCAGGGCATCTGAATGTGCCAGCTGGACCCAAATTTTGCCCAGGTGCTGCACCCCCTGCCTTGCCCCACTGGCTCATTGTTCTCCCATAGGTTCCCTTCTCAAAGCAGAGCCCTGAAGACTTCAGATGTCAATGAGGCCACCTGTTTGTGATGTACAGGCATAGAAGAAAGGCACAGCTCCCCGTCAGTTTCAGGGAAAATGACGCAGTGCCTGCTGGGAACCAGCCGCTAGAGATCCCCACAAAGAGCCTCTACTGGGGGCAACCTTTCCAGGAAGGAGTTGGGGAGAGAGAGCCCTCACTGTGGGGACTGCTGATAAGAAACTAGTTGCACAGCTGCTCTCTTCTCATACAAATCTACCCCTTGTGTGGCTGGAACTGACATTTCCCTGGAGGTGTCCAGAAAGCTGATGTAACACAGAGCCTATAAAAGCTGCCAGTCCTTAAGGCTGACAAGCCCCTCACCAAGATGGAGCTTGTAAGGAGGCTCATGCCTTTGACCCTCTTAATTCTCTCTTGTTTGGTGGAGTTGACATTGGCAGAGGCTGAAGGTAAGAAAACAACCAGATTTATTCACTAAAACAGAGAAGATCTCTTAAGAGGCCTCTTTCATAATTTTTAAAGTGTTTATGTCTGTTGGCCTCAGTTCAGAGAAAAATGTACTCTAATACTCTTGGGGGGCAATTTTAAATTAGTTCTAATTTTGGGCTCATCTGACAACATCCATAAAAATATCAAAAGTGTATAGAATTTTACTGAGTAATTTCACTGCTAACAGCTTATATTTTGTAAATAAACATAAAAATGTCCAAAGATATAGGTATAAATATGTGCACTTACATAATTGTAAACAGTGACACAAATTTTCATTGTTATGGTAAATCCATATAATGGAACACTCTTTTTTGCAAATTAAAATAACTCTGGTCAGTAGTGTGTCCATAGTCTACATTAAGAGAGAAAAAAAGATCTGAAGTTTCTACAATATGATGGTTCTTATGTTTGAAATATATACATTCGAGCATTTTAAACATGTAGAAATAGAAGAGAAAAGGAACAGGTGTAGAAGTGTTTACACCAAGGTTTCAATGATGATTGTTTCTGGGTGGATGGGGTTATGGGAGTATAAATAAAAATAAAGCTTTGTTCCTATGTAGGTGGAGTTTTTGATGATTAGTCAGAATCTTGGTGGGATTTTGAATTAGTACTAATTTTATTTGGGCCCATCTGACAATGCACATAAAAATATAAGAATTTATCAAATAATTAAAAATATTTTATAGATGGGGTTTCACTACATTGCCCAGGCTAGTCTCGAATTCCTGAGCTCAAGTGATCCACCCACTTTGGCCTCCCAAAGTGCTGAGATTACAAGTGTGAGCCACCACGACCAGCCCCTTACTGGGTAATTTCACTGCTAACAGGATCCAGTGATTTTTCCTCTTCCCCTTTTCTCTTTTTTTCCTTTTTCCTCTTTTTTAAGGTTTATTAACATATGATTCACATACCATAAAATCCACCATTTTAAAGTACACAATTTAGTGTTTGTTAGTATATACGCAAAATTGTGCAAACATTAGAACTATCTAATTCCAGAACATATTCTTCACCCCCAAAAGAAACCATCTCAAGCCCAGCACAGCGGCTCAAGCCTACAATCTAAGCCCTCTGGGAGGCTAACATGGAAGCATTGCTTGAGGCCGGGAGTTTGAGACCACCCTGAAAAACATAGTGAGATCCCAATGCTAAGAAATTTTTAAACATATTTTAGCCAGGTGTGGTGGTACATGACTATAGTCCCAGCTACTCTGGAGGCTGAGGTGGGAGGATCACTTGAGCCCAAGAGTTTCAGGCTGCAGTAAGCTATGACTGTGCCATCGCAATCCAGTATAGGTAACAGAGTGAGACTCTCTCTCTCTCTCTCTCTCTCTCTCTCTCTCTCTCTCTCTCTATATATATATATATATATATATATATGCATACATATGAAAACCTATTAAAAATACAAATTATCCTACTCCATGTCCTAATATATTCTCTTTTATGGACCATATGTAGAGAAGTTACAAATACTTCTTAAGGGTTCAAGATGGAGAAATCAACTGCTTGTGACTTCCTTTGGAGTAAGCTAAGTGCTATCCACAATTAGCTGCCTGCTTGTATGTATATTACATGTG